TGTGCACGTGTGTACCAGTTGCATCACTTTACAGCATGCAATAAAGGGGCTTTTTCAACCTTTTGAGGGGAAAAAAAGATCACGACTTTACAAAATGTCTCATCGACCCATGGTGTGTTTCCTCATGATCCATAGTCCACGTACATTTGTCTTTACTTTGACCTCCTCCAAGGAAGCTATTGCTATAATTATAAGGAGAATGTCCTGCAGTAATGAAGCCAAAAACATGATGTACTTCGTGAGTCGGTGTGTAGTTGAACAACTGGACGGACAAGACAGTTTAATTCCCCTTCCTGTTTGTCAGTTTAGATCATTTCATGCTCAGCAGTAACCATTAGCTTTTAAGGCCTCATGTGTGTGTTTTTTTCTTTCGCTGTTCTGTCCTCTGTACTGATCCAGCCCAGTTTCTATCAGTCGTTAACTGATTAAGATGTGGTGCCCATCTGACAGCCACTACAGCAGGAAGGAGCCACTCACTCTCTGCTGTCTTCACAGACGGGGCCTGTGGAAGGACGGCCATTAGAAGGCTTCCCTCAGACTTAATGGGCTGGACATGTTTTATAAAGCTTCCACCGCTTGTGTTTGTTCACGGAGCAAAGTAATGACCAAATCAGGCATGGCTGCAGGCTGAATGCATTTGAAAAGGGTTCTACGTCAGCTGAAACCAGGAGTTTCTTTCAAATAAAGCAACAATATTAGTATTTTATATCAGCAGTGTCAGTCATGAGATACAGTTTCACTGACATGAAGCAGAAACACCAGTTTATTTGGATTCGGCTGAACCTATAAAAATATTTAAATGTATCTTGCAAACTCTCAAACCAAGGCTACACCTGATGTGAAGACAAAGAGGGGGAGTGGGCTTGTCCTTATTTACTGGAGTGTCACGTTATAAAAAAAAAATTACAATATTTTACCTAAGTGTCACGTTATAAAGGCAGCAGTAAAATAAAAAAAAAATTACAATATTTTACCTAACTCTCTACCCCTTGAAACTTAAGAAAGCCATAACCAATGATTTTAGCGTAGTCCTGCACGGTGCATAATGTTGGGTTTTTTCTCTCTAATTACATTGACATTATCATAACGATTTCTATAAGATGCAAAACAGTTCTTTTTGCGAGACAAATGTGTAACTAAATCCCTAAGAAGAAAGGATAAACTGCTTTTTATCAACCTTTTGGTCTAAAATTTAGATTTAGAGTCTAAATGATGTCACGTGTATGTTGTTCTTCACAAGAAACTAGTTTAATATGGATAATGAGGGAAGTGGTCCATGTTGCATGCCACTTGTAATGATATTTTGTGTATATTTTGAGTAAGAAAAGAAGAAAGATTTAAATTATAAACAAACTTTATAGAGAGTTTTGCCAATGCTCTGCAGCAGTCTAATTATCAGGAGAGCGCTCGTTAGTTGTCACCTGCAGATAAACAGCCCACCATTCTTCTCCCTCTTGTGCTCCAGCTTCTCCCCCCGTCCCCCCCGCCTGTAGCTGAATTTGAAATTCTAAGTAGCAGAATATCGTCCCCCCCGCCTGTAGCTAAATTTGAAATTCTAAGTAGCAGAATATCAATTTCAGAGTTGCCCCTCTTATCTTATCCTCCACCTCCACCCACTGAGCCACATGCAAATATCAAGTAATTTGTTTTCAATATGTTAATGGTCAGGGTAAATAAAGCAGCGAGAGATTGACATGGTTAACCAAACGATGCTGGTTTGCTCCGTGGAGGGGATTTGCACTGAGCTCCTCATTAAGGTGGAGTTGATTCCATTGGACATATTTGGCAATTTATGTTGCCACTGTACTCTTGTATGGAAGCATACAGTTCACGTCTATTTATATACTCTATAACCATGGGAAAAATGTCAAATGTCGGTGTTTCAAACTGGAGAAAGAAAGTCTTGAATACTCAAGAGAAAAAGAAAATAAAAGCCATCATTTTTTCCCCTGAACACTCTGACCTGGTTCCAGCTTGACACTTTAATGGCTTTGATGTATACACATTTTCCCAGTTACATACCAGGATGTCAGAAGACAAGAAAACGGCCAGTACTGGAGAAATGTAAGAAAGACGACCTGTCTGTGAAGGATGGGGGCGAACGCTCTCTCTCTGTCAAATACGTTAAGCATCATTTTAAAAATTCCAAACTCCAAATCAACATTCATTCACATCTGTCACTGTCACAATCAAGGTGTGACATGACTGGGCTTAAGCTGCAGAGTAAGATGTCGTTAACGTTCTAATGCCGCGGCGCTGTGCTGAACACCTCAAAGCTCCATTAATGTCTCCTAAATATGATTATTGCTGCAGAGATGTTAACAGTTGCAAAGGAGAAGAACCTTTCCCACAGAACACCGTCCTCACCTGCAGTAGATCCATGCAAGATGATGTTCCCATTGAGTGAGTAAAAAGAACCATGAAAAAAGTTGAACTAATGCAGTCATACCCCCCCCCACCCCCCACTCTGCTAAAGCCTCATGTATCTTCACGAAAGTTTCCTTCTAATAAACTCACTCTCCTAAATACAAGGTTCCAACTAATTTGCTGACGATTATGTGAGTGTGTGAGTTTGGTGCTTTTATATCTTAAGTCTTCCTGAGAACTGGGGATTTAAATGAATGACAGCTTTCATCTGAGCAGCAGCCGTGGACGTTACATTTTTTATTAAACTCCAGTGTTCCTCCAGGGCTGTGTAACAGCTACTGTATGGCACCAAATAGTAGAGAAGGACAGAGAATGAAATAAAATCCCAGTTCTTGGTAAATCCACTGTATTATGTGGCCACTATCTTTCACTGCAGCCTGGGTTTGCTCCTCATTTGAGAGAAATTTCTTTTCCTCGTTGAGAACCTAAATATTGCTCATTTGAGAGAAGAGAAGTTCGCAATTTTCTCCCCCTCTTTTCCTCGTTGAGAACCTAAATATTTTAAACATGTTCCAGGGTGCATGATGCTAGCAATTACAAAAACTTCCATTGGACAACTGGCTCGCAGCTGCCACCCACCTCCGATGGCTGGAACTATTGAATGTCAATGTAGCATTTCAACAACACCCCCCTTTAACCCCCCCCCCCCCCCCCCCCCTCCCTTTTTTCCACTCACAACTCCATTGGGAATTATCAGGTGTTTCCCACATGTACGGGCAGGACATGAAGATAATGGAGGTCAGTAAAGATGATGTATCTCCACATCAACTGGGATAACACAACTCTGTCTGACCTGGCTCTTTACTAGTCCACTGCATCATGGTCAGACATCATAAAGAATGA